TACTACATGCCAGTTCTAAGCACTGGGGATCAGCGGTGGACTGCTGTTCTGGACAGGGGTGGGGGGTGGAGACAGATAATAAACAAGATAAAGAAATAAAGCAAATCATTAGACAGCTGGAGATCAGGGTGGCTGGGAAAATCAAGGCAGAGCGGGGGCAAGGTGGGGGGTTGATATTATAAATGGAATGAGTGGTCAGGAAAGCCCCCCCCCCCGTCCCCCTGACATCTGAAAAAGATGTGAAAGGAGGGAAGGCAGGAGTCATGTGGATATCTGGGGAAGAACATTCCAGATCGAAAGGAACAGCCTGTGCAAAGGCCCTGGGGCAGGAGCCTGTCCAATGTGTTTGAGGAAAGGCAAGGAGGCCAGGTGGCTAGAGGGGAGAGTCATGGGAGAGGAGGTCAGTGGGATTTGACATTTCTGCCACGACCCGATGTCCGTCTCTATCTCCAGGATGTCAGGCTGGTGTTTCCCCACAGTGTCTCCAGCATGGAGAATGGCCACTGACAGGGGCAGAACCACAATAAACATCAGTCATCTGAGTGCATCAAAGAGCGTCGGCCCGAACATTGGGGTGTCCCTGTGCAAAAAGCTTTAATCCAAAAGGAAAAGCCGAAAACATTCAACCGAATTAAAAGGAAGAACTTGTGCTCATCAGAGGACCATTTCAAGGGCAAGCGGCCGCTGGGGGGATTCGCACATGCGCGAGTGACAAGGACCAGGCTGAAGAACACCGACAAGCCCGGTCAGACAGCCTGATGGGAAAACACACACAGAACTTACAGAAGAGGAACCCCCAATGCGCAGCAGTCCAGGGGAGTGCAGTCAGCACCCCTCTCCCCTGACGATGATGCCAAGATGCCAAGTGCCGGGCGGCCGTGGAGACACAGGGCCTCCCAAGGACCCAGGGCTGGACTAGAAGAAAGCACCCTGCCGAGCGTGGCCCCCTGCTTCTTCCTGACCATGCCGCTCTGCTCTGGGGCGTACCCCCAGCCATGCAGCACGCGGCCCCCAGAGCACCTGGACGGAAGGTCCAGCAGCTCCGTCCACGGTGGCCCAGGCCGGAAGCCGCCCCCACTCCTCCAGCAGCGAAGAGAGGGACAGCAGTCACGTCACTCACACGTGCTGCCCCCAAGACAGCCAGCTGTGGGCCGCCCCCGCCCCCCGCCAGCACGCCAACATGACGTTTTAGTGAAAAAAGACCAGCCTTTAAAATACAAGCTGGAAGACTCCGTGGATGTGAGGTTCTAGACCAGGCAAAAAACGACCTCTGTCAGTTAGCGACGCTCTCAGGTGGCCAAATGATGCAGAAAACAAAGAACTGCTTGTCACATACGCCAGGGCCCTGGAGTCCTCCGGGGAGCCGGAGGGAGCCGTGACTGGGGAGGGGTCTTGGGGCGTCCCTGGAGGCCTGGCATTGGTCATCTTCTTGACCTGGGTGGTGGCCTTCTAAACTTAATCTCTAAACTGCACAGATACTTGTTCCCTTTTCTGCATGCTGGTCACAGTTCACAACTTTGAAAAATGCTAGTTGGGGGAGCGGGCGGGGTGGACGCACAGCGGGGAGAGCTCTGCTTTCCGGGGCACCTGCTCCGCGCCTGCAGCGGCTGACCCACTTTCCTACATCACAGAGGGGACGGGGCTTGCCCAAAGGCCTGCAGCAGACAAAGTGGCCACGGCAGGAGCGAAGGCAGAGGGGACCCTGTGCAGAGGAAAGCAGAGGAGCGGATTAATTTGGGGATTAGCCGCGGCGCCCCGCGCGCAGACAGCCAGCCGGGACTCAATAGCCACAAATCCCGGAGTGTCACAGGAAGACTTGCACAAGCTGTCAGAGGCGGGAGGGCTGAGGGAGCGAGGGCCGGGGGACCCAGGATGCCAGGGGGACCCCCGGTCGGAGATGGCCGGACCTGGGGGACCCCGACCGTGGGCCAGCCCCTGCACGGCGCTGGGGCTGGAAAAATCGAGGGGGCAGACCCAGGCTCTGCTAGAAGGGGCTCCCCCCTGGGGCACGCTGGAGGGCACTCCATCGACCTGCGCTCCCCACCCCCTCGACCTGTTTCCCAAAACGCCTCCCCGCTTCCTCGGGCCTCCCGTGGCCCTTGGGCCTCTTGGGAGGTCTGTCCAGTCTATCTTCCTTGCAAACTCCTGTTCATTCTTCAAGGCTTGGCTCAAGTATCTCCGCTTCCAGGAAGCCCTCCCTGATATTCCAAGCCAGGGTCCCTGGCCTGGGATCCCTGGGAAGATCTGTTGATGGGCCTGTGTCCCCCGCCTGCCCTGGAGGGTTGGCCTGGGTCTTACTCAGTCTCAGGGCCCAGTGCAGGACTCGGTACACACACAGGGAATGAGTCCACGCGGGGGGCGGGAGAGTGAGGGGCAGGAGAGGCACAAAAGCCACAGAGCGAAGGTGACAGGGAGAACAGAGTTTGTCACGTGGACTAGAAGGCAGGTGGAAGGGCGTTCTAGGTGGGGGGACAGCACAGGCCAAGGCAGAAAGGCCTGGCAGCTTACCTGGGACTGAGAAGGGGGACTTCAGTACGGGGTGGGTGGTGAGCAGAAGGAGTCGGCAGAGGGGCTGGGGCAAGGGGAACCCACAAAGGTTCACTCATCACATATTTCCTGGACCCTCCCGCGAGCCAGGCTTGGTTCCAGACCCCACAGTGGGGATAGGATGTCGAGTGCGGGACGGGGCAAAGGACCTGCCCTCCGGGAGCTCAGTTCAGACCCCCAGGCCCAGCTTGCAACGTGCAGAAATGCACTCTAGGGGCAGGAGGCGGGGCCCAAGCACGGGGTCATTCTCTGGACACCCCAAGACCCCTTCAGTTGGACCACAAATGCCTCTGCTCCTGCCTGGGGATCCCACCATAGTGTGGTTCAGACCTATGGGCCATGTCTCAGGTGAGGCACACCATTCTCCCAACAGCCCTGCCAGGGCGGGGGGCGGGGGGTGATTAGGGTATCCACTTCACAGATGAGAAAACCGAGGCCAGAGACTGGATCTGTGGGACCCCAAGCCCCATGACCTACCCCTGTTGACCAACTTCCCCTACATTCCTCGGGACCTCTTGGTCCAAGACTAAATGCAGGACGGGACCCTACAGGGGCAGCCCCTGTATCGGCTGGGAAGGACGAGTCCGGAAAGGCCCTTGAGGTAGCTCTGAGAACACTAATGGGGTGAGAAGAGGAGGTCAGGACCCTCCCCAGTTGTGGGGCGCTATGCTGCGTCCTGGCCCCATGGGATCCCCATTCCCACCAGCTCCAAAATCCTGCCTCGGCTGAAAGCCCAAGTGGCCCAGAGCAGCCCAGAAGCCCAGGCCCTGGCTACTGCCACTGGCCTTTGGGACTCGGCCCAGGGAAGCCCTCAGCCCACTTGGCAAAGCCATGCCTGATGCCCTTAGCATCGCAGGCAATGGACCTGCCCAGGTGGCTCACCTGGCTCACCTGCCCACCTGTGTCCTCTCTGTCCGCACTGCCCAGCACACAGGGGTGGGTGCTCAAGGCCTTGGCTGGGCATGGAGAGCGAGAAAAAGAGAAAGAGAACCACCCCCACTCCCCAAGCTGGTCTGGGGGTGCCCCACGAATGCGACCTGGCTTTCAAGTCCCAGCTGAGTTAAGTAGTGTCCCCTTCTTCCTAGGGACCCATCCCAGGTAGGGAGACCGGTGAGATGACAGCCAAGTTGGGGGGGGGGGCGGCAAGGGTACCGGGGAGGGCCCTGTCCTGAGCTCAGAGGCCTAAGCTCATCTGTGTGGCCAGAGCCAGGGCCGCTGCTCCTTGGGCCTCACCGGCCCCACCTGGACCTTGACCATGACAAGGCGGGTCTGACTGAACATCAGATTTGGAGTCTGAGCTCCTATGACCTAAGACACTGGACCCCTCCTCCCAGCCAGGGACCACTGTGACCATGCCCTGTGGGACCCACAAGAGAGGGCTGCACTCCAGCTCAGTGGCCAGGAGATGGCCCTGCTCTGAACAGCCAGTCTGGGGCCTCTGTGTGAGCCCACCTGTCTCAGGCTGCCCCCCTGGGCGTTCCCAACTCACCCACAGCACTAAGGGCCAGCTGGGTCTCTTTCCCCTAGCCCGTGGGGCATGTTCTGGAACAAGCCTGGGCTCTGCTAGGTCCCAGACCCTCAGGGAATGTGCGCCCTGGCTACCTAGCACGTTCCCCAGGGATGCTGATTCTGGCCTTGGGAGGAGGGGCAGCCGGAGGGGGAAGGTCAAGAGACCCTCTGGCCCTTGGGGATGGTGCCGAAACCCAGCAGTCAGAGCTGGGCCTGCTGCCCACACAACGCCTCAGCTCGGGCTCCGGAAGGAAAACACGGGAGGGGTGTTCCCAAAGTGGGGGTCAGGGTGGCCAAGGGAAGTCGAGGAGGAAGTCGTGAATATTCACATCGGCTGATCCCTGGCCTGCCCCGAAGGGAGCCCGGTGCAGTCCACGATGGCTCAAAGTTTAGCACCCGGAGGGAGGCCACAGGGGACACTCCCCAGACTCGCGGGATTCCCCCAAAATGGCTCCAAGACGCGCCCGCCTCGCTGGCCAGCCGCGAGGACTCCATCCCCCACCCCCGCCCCCACGAGGCGGAAACTTAAAAGCTCAGAACCAGGCAACTGTCAGCTGGGGGCGGGGGGGGGGAAACAAGCCGGCGCGGGGACTCAGCGCACAGCGGCCGCGGAAGCCCGGAGGGTCCCGGTGTGTGTGGGGGTCAGTCGAGAGTCCGGGGCGGTGCACTGGGCTGGGGGGGGGGCCGGCGCAGGCCCTCGTGGCGTACCCCCCCCTCGTCACGGCCACCCCGGCCCGGGCCGAGGAGCCCCCGCGCGCGGGGCTCCCCATTGTCTCGCGGCGCGCACACACGCACCCCGCGGCGGCACACCGGCCCGCGCCAGCCCCGCCGAGGCGGCCCGGGCCCCGTGGCTGCGCCCGGGCGGAGCCCTCCCCCCCGCCCTCCCGAGCGCCCCCACCCCGACCCGGCCCCGCGAGCCGCGGCTCGGGAGCCGCTGCACTCACCTGAGTTTCTCCATGTCTGCGGCAGAGGCCTGCGAGAAACCAAACGAGAGGGTCAGCAGGCAGGAGGCGTGCGCTCCGCGGCCGCGCCGGGCGGAGCCGGGCACAGCGGGCACGGGCGGGCGCGGCGGCGGGGCGCCCCGCGCGGCTCTGTCGGCGGCAAGCCCGGCCCGCGCGCCCCCATCCCCTGCCCCCCGGCCGCGGTCCCCGAGACTCAGGGGGGTGCGCCGGGCCGCGGCCGAGTAACAGGTGAGCCCGCCCGGGCCGCCGCGCTCCCCGGCACCGAGTTACGCCCCCCCCGGGGGGAGGGGAGAAGAGGGGACCAGCCCGGGGACTCGGGATGGCACGGCCCGGGGCGATCCCCGTCTCGCCCGAAGAAGGGGGACCCGGCCCGGCCCCGTTAACTCTCCCGCGGCCGCGGCCCCCGCCGCTCACCGCACCCCCCCCCCGCCCCGCCCGTTAACCCTTCCAGCTCCGCGCTCCCTCCCGGAGGAAGCCGAGCCCGGAATCGCAGAATCTCCTAGTCGGAGAATGTTCGAATCCGGGAATTGGGAGCCATACGGGATTGCAGAACACGACACTCACACGATCCAAGGGTGATGGCATTTGGGACCTCAGACTCCTCAATCAGAGACCCCGCTGCCCTCAGATTCTGGGGTTCCGGGCCTGACTCGCCCCTCCCGGGCCCGAGGGATTAACCCATGCGCGCCCAGCTCGCCGGCGGGGCTCCCTGCCGGGCTTGCGCAGACCCGCCCGCGCGCGGCTAGGAGACCCTCCCTGCCCAGCCCCGCACAGCCGGGCAGCCCCTCCGCGCGCCGGGCGGGGAGACCCACCCGCTGCCGTTAACCCTGCGGGCGCCGGCGACCGGTGGAAACCGCGAGCGGCCCGGGCGGGATCGCACTTCCTGCGCGGAGCGGGGGGCGCGGGGCGGGCTCTCCATCGCCCGGGAGAGGCCGCTCCCGGGGGCTTTCCCCCGTCTTTACGTGCCACGACTGGCCCTAAAGGGGGACGGGGGTCTGAGCCCAGGGACCACGCGACACACCTGGGAAGACTGATGACTGCCCATCCCGGCCCCTCGCTCCGGGCGCCGCCGCCGCGTCCGCCGGGAGCGCGCTCCGCTCCGGTCCGGGCCCCACGCCGCCTCCCCCACCGCCCCGCCGGGCGAGGGCGCAGCCCGGCCAACAGCGCCGAGCTAGGAGGCCCGGCCCGGGGGCCTCGGCCAGGCTCGGCCGCCAACTCCCCGGGTGCTGGGGCAGGCCCTCCCGGGACTCCGCTGGCCTGTTTCCTCACCTGCGAGCCGGGGTTGGGGGCAGGGGGAGGCGGACGAAGCGCTCTGCTGCCCTTCAGCACCGGCGGGCTGCGGAGGGGCTGGGTGGGGGAAGGAATTTTAGAAGGAAGGATCCGCCGGGGGCTCGGATTGGCCGCCAGACACAACACTCACTCTAAAAGTTGTCGGAGACCACGAGCCCAGACCCCCTCTAAATACTCTCCTCCCCTAAAGACAAAGAATTGGCCGCCAGGCCAGTGCCTCCCCCGAAACCCCCCTATATCCACCCCAGGCCCACCTTTCCCAGGTCCCCATCACCGAGCTCCGCACACTAGATCCCAGCATACAGCAGGCGCTCAATAAACACGGACTGTGCATGCCTAGATCCTACACCACTGTGGCGTGTCTTTTCCTGCCTCTTCTCCCTGGCTGTGAGTTCCAGGCGGGAGCCCTGTCCCTTCACCAGGGCACCCCCAGCACCCAGCAGGCCTGGCCTCCACAGGGCCCCGCGCAGGGTGGGAGGAGCCGTGCTTTCTCAGGGTCAGCCCCAACCAGGTTCACACCCAACCCCAAAAGTCCAAGTGTTCCTCCGTCCACCAACGCTTTCTCACACATTCGTTAGCTCTGGGATAAGTTCTTGCGGTGGGAGGGGGCAGCCAATGAGGTGAGCCCTGCCCTCTGGGGGCTGATGGTTGAGAAAGGACACTCCCGCTCTGTCCTGGGAGCCCCCCTCAGCAGAATGGCAAGGATAAATACTGGCAGTACCCCCCCCAAACACACACCCTCCCCATGCCTTAGCCTTACACATTGGAGGCTCCGTGGCTCAACGGAGACAGCTCAGCAGGGAAGCAGTCACTCCCAATTTACAGACAAGGAAAACAAAGGACAGAGCTGAGCCCAGCAGGGCCTGGAACCCAACCCTCAGAGAGAGGCCTTTTCCCCCAAAAGGCTAGGGACACCCCTCATATGTCTCCAGTTGTCTCAATCACTCACAGTGAATGACCTGCCAGGGAGTTTGTCTAAAATTAATAAGAATGTATTAAAATTTAATTTAAAAAATCGAACATTAATTATTTATATTGAGTGTTTCAGCTCTTCTAAAAGGTCTGTCTGGGAATTTTGCCCCCAAGAAGGAATGTCAGGGGAGGCCGCTGAGTTGCCCTGGTGGTGGTGGGGGGGGCGGTGGGGGGGTAGGGCAGGCAGGCTAGCGGGAAGGAGAGGGGCTCTAGCCCTGGCACCTTGGACCCCCTTCCTTCACCCCGCTACTCCAGACCCCAAAGCCTGGCTTTAACCCTTCCATGATGTCTCAAATTCTCCCCAGACCCACTGCCTGTGCCCTCATCCTTAAAGGTCGCCTCCTCCAGGCAGCCCTCCATAGAGACCCAGTGGAGTTGATTGGTTTAGGTCTCCATACCAGATGCATAATCCCTGGGGCAGGGCCTTTCCCAGCCATGTCCCAGGGCTAGCCTAGCACCTCACCCAGGGCTTGGGAGCCTGGACGCAGCTCTGGATGCACATGTGATGAGCTGTCACAGCTGTATGTGGCTGGGGAGCAGGGTGAGCAGTGAGGCTAGCCCTGTGAGGAGGTGCTATGCCTTTGGCAATGGTCTTGGTGTTGGGGCCAGAGCCCCAGGTTCACGTGTTGACTCTGCTATTCATAAGCATAAGATTTGGGAATATTCCTGAGATGCCCCTTTTACAGATGAGAAAAACAAGACCAGAGCCTGAGATGGGCTTATTCAGAGTCACCTAAAGTAAGCCAGGGCCTGCCTGGTGGGCTGGCTAGAAGAGAAAGGGAGCACTGCCCGGGTCTTGGGCCGGAGGTCGTGCCTCCTTTATAGGAGGAGGGCAGGGATGGTTGGGGACCATGAATACGAGGGGCCTGTGGGACGTCCAGGGTCCTCAGCGTGAAATGATGGGGCAGGAAATACCCTCAGGGCCCCTCCGGCCCCTCCAGGGACCTGCAGGCAAGTGGGATCCCAGCGCTCTTCTCTGGGGACTCCCATACTCCTGGCCCCACACCTCTTCCTGCAGCACACTGTGACCTTGTCCGCTCCTGGTGGTCCAGCCCAGCGGCCACCTTTATTTCCCTAAAACATCCCGTGAGCCCTGCTTGTTGGTCCCTTGCCTCAGCCCACCCGCTCTCTGTCTTTGTCCCCGAATGCCATCCTCCTAGTGGCACCTGGGCACAGTGACTGGCACACAGGAAGCACTCCCAAGAGGCGATGGAGGGAGGCAAGTCTGCCTAACCCTCTGGCCTCACCTCCAACCTGCACCTTACTTGGCACACAGCAGCCACACTGGCCTCCTTGCTGGTCCCAAGCTCACCCAGCTGGCTCCTGCCTCAGGGCCTTTGCACTTCTTCCCTGCACCTGGAATGCTCTGCCCCAGATCTTGTGTGGCCAGTGCCTTCCTTCTCTGACGACCCATCTGAAGGAGCTCCTTGCCCACCAAAAGACTTCTCATCTTGCCAGTCTCTTTGGACTCCTCCTCCTTGGCCATTTGCCTCCCACCCTGCCCCTGCCCTATAAACGACACCCCTGCTGCAGGGCCCTCAGTTTCTGCCACTGTGTCTCTATCCCCAGGGCCTGGCACAGAGGGCCTTCAATGGCAAGTGGTGACACCAGAACCATTGCAGTTGCTCTTCTCCCCAGCCAGAGGCGCCTGCTCTCCACCCTGAGCGCCTTCCTGCCCTCCTGGCTCCTATCATTCACTCACCACCCCATGCCCCTCCCCCAGCTGGGTGGCACCTGAGCCCAACGGCACGTCTGCACAGAGTCCTGCCCAGGAAGCCCCTCTGAGGCTGTGGGTCCTCCCGCTCCACAGCCCCCCGCCTCCCGCCAGCCAGTTTGTGACTCCTCCACTGGACCACCTGGCCAGGTTGCACAGCTGCCCATTCCACTCCAAGTCCAAGTCCTTCTGTTTCCGAACTACAGAGAGAAGGAACGAGAGTCCCTGTCTGGGGATGGGCCTGCTTGGTGCTGAGAGCCAAGTCTGGGACACAGGGAGCCTGGGTTCTGGTCCCAGCTCTGCCTCACCATGTGACCCTGGGCCGGTCCCTGCCCTCCCTTGGGGCCGGGGGCTGACCTCTCAGACCCTGACCCTAGTGCTCCACTCCCGGGGTCTCCGTAAATCCACTCGGGGGTCTGGCTTCCTCAGTTTCCCCCTTATCTTGCTCCCCGACTTCCATCTCCAGGGGACACGGGGGGTTCAAATCCCAGGCGTGGCTACAACAGGGGTCACCCACCTCCCGCTGATGAAGACTCAGGCCTCCTACACAGCTGTGTGACCCCTGGCAAGTCTCTCAACCTCTCTGAGCTCAATCCCTCATCTAGGGAGCATGGAAAAGTTTTAAAGGACATTGCGACTGACAAGGTAGCCATGCGTAAGGGACTGTCTTGGGGATAGAGCTCCTCCGGAGAGCCAGCCACTTAAATTTAATCACCTGGGGTGGACACAGCCTTCGAAGATGTCTTCTTGCCTTCATTCAACAAACATGGACCATGTGCCCTGTTCTAGGGGACTCAGCGGGGAAGTAGCCTGAGGAGATTTGTGCCCTGATGGTGCAGATACTCTCGGGCGGGATGCCGATTACAGGGGATGTCAGCGCCCCGGCTGCCCCAGTGTCTGATGTGAGGGAGGGAAGGCTGGGGCTGGAACTGGCCACAGGAAGGTCAAGATGAAGGGTGAGAGCAATGACGGAGTTGGCGGGAGCAGCAGGCTCTGGGCGTGGGGGGCCCGGTGGGTCTGGGAGCATCTGGTCACCCGTGGGGAGCAGGGGTGCGTGTCACAGGCCACAGTCAGGACTTGGGCTTCTGTCCTGAGTGGGTCGGGAGCCCTGCAGGGCCAAACAGAGGACTGTCCCTGGCACCACTGTGTGGGGGACGCGCTGAAGGGTGAGTGCGGGGCCCCAGGGGCCCAGCCGGAGGCGCCAGCACCAATCCAGGCCTGTGGGGCCAGGGTGCAGGTCGGAGAGGTGCTTGCCACTGGAAGGCGGTGGGGAGAAGATCGGGGCTCAGGTTCGGAGTTGACAGACGTCCCAGGAGGGACATGGCCAAGGGGGCAGGTGCACAGGTCCAGGAGATGTGAATCTGGGAGTGGCCGGTGTAGACGCAGCACTAAAAGTCACGGGACTGGAGGAGCGCCAAGGGAGTGAGTGTGGGGCGCAGAGGTGCTACTTCAAGGTCAGGGTGCATGGAGGGACCAAGCCTGCCAAGGACACTGAAAAGGAGCAAAGGGAGGTAGGAGGAGAGCGGGGTTTTCCAGGAGCAGGGGGGAGACCAGCACTCACAGACTGTGCCCTGGGTAAAAAGCTGGCTTCGCGTCCCTCAGCATCCCCCACAGGGCTGGCCTGTGCTGGGCACATGGCAGGTCACCTGCCCATACCTTTGCTGCAGGACCAAGGGGAGCTGTGTGCTCCCCCGTCCCTACTCGATGGAGGGGAGCCGGTAAGCGCTTGCCCAAAATCCCTCCAGCAAGTTGGGGTGCTGAACACAGGCCCTGGCTTGGCACTGCTGTCCCCAGATGGGGCCAGGAGTGTCCTTCTCCCTGGGATTCCGGAGGCCTGGCTGCGTCTCACTCCCCACCCTGCC